GAGGGTGACACTTCCTACATGTGCTGTTGGAAGCATCTGTGCCTCTGTTTGGCAGTGAAGAGGAATGCTTTGCCTGGCCCTTCTGATGAGGTCCTAAACCAACTCTCTGTAGTTCCCTTGCATGGCAACATTGACCCAGTTTCCTGGAGGCTCATGCTAATTTATGAAAGAATTACATTGGCGGTGTCTTCCATATGGCCCAAAACTTTTGGGGTTATCCAGAAGGTTTAAAAGAAACATGCACTAAAATGCTCACTGCCCAAATAATGAGTGACTCCAGCTCTAAAGTTGATTTGTATAGTTGAGTTAATAGAACTTAATCTCTTTATCTCTATCTTGGTATTGGAAGATGCAGGACCTTCACCAGTCCTCCAAATGTCTGTTTAGAGTGTGCCTTGTGTTTTCATAACAGGCTTTTGTCTCTCTGATTTTGCTGCATATTTAGCTGATGTACCATTGCTTCATTTAATATGAATTGGAATGCCACTTGGATTTGTGAAAATCATAAATCACATATTTTTAGGTTAGTGAACAACATTTTTGAAATGTCAGTGCACAAGCTGATGCCTTCTTGTAAAAATTAATGCGTCATGGAACATGTTGTGTTTTTGAACTGTACCGGGCAGTTGGCTTGCACTGTTGGAAGCAGCCCATAATATAATACATTTTGGAGATGAATTTTTTTATTGTTCCCGATTACGGGTGTAGTACTATTCAAACAGACTTGTAATCTTCTCAGGTGAACTTACTTTAAATAGATACCCACAGGATCTGTGTGGATGTGAAAAAAACATGAATCTAAAATACACCAAAGTACTGAAGTTTAAGCATTCAGTTTAAAACAAAAATATAAATTTCAAAGTACATGACACTTCCGTTCTGCTGATGAAATTGATAAGATCACAACACCTGCAACAAATGCATAGTGTAAAGATGACTAAACATGAGTGGATTAATGCAAAGTACAGGCAGGCATCTACTCACTTTACTTCAACAGAATTAAGATAGGTGTTGGGCCATTCAGCTTTCAAATTTGATCCCAGTGTTGATAATGAATCTAGGCAATGGAGTAATCAGCTATTCATGGATGTTAAGAGAAATAAATGATCAGATCATAATTTGCTTCTCAACCAAACTCTGTTGTTGCCTGGGTGATCCTATAATTAAATTATGAATAGTGTGGTTATTTTGCATGTATCCGAGGAAGCTTATGTTTATATAATATCAAGACATTATATGGGGTTATATGATCTCAGTAATTGATACTGTGTACATCTTACCTATATCTACTAATTATTTAAAATTATAGTTGTGAAGATGGTTATTTTCCCCAGGAAGAATGCTCTAAAATTAGATTCATCCAACAAAATGTTTGCTAAGATAGGAATAAACTCAGAGAGGAAAAACAGCCAAATATGTGAAAGAATAACTAAGCAAATATGGGCTTTACATAGCATGCATTATTCAGTGATATATTTAATACATATGTCCATACTATGCACTTGTACAAAATAGTATGCATATTTTATCAACTATAAAACCGGACAGTTATATTAAAATTCAATAAAATATAAATAAAATACTTCACAAGATATTCTGGTAATTATTACTATTTGTAATATTCCTTATATTGCCTTTTTTTTTAAAGAGAAAGCTGCTAAACACATGATATATTGCCTTATTATGGTGTTCTGCAATCATGCTCAACTGGGAAGCATTAGTATATATTATTATACATCTAAACATAGCTCAAAATTGAACAGTTAAAACCATTTATATAGCTTTAATCAATGATCTATGCTTCTAGTTTGCCCTTGTTTTTTCATATTACAGTGTTTTCACAATACTGTGAAAGAACTATTAATCTTTCAGCATACTTTGTGTCTTCAAATTGACCAGCACTTGTACAGGCAACCTGACCCAGTTGTTTTTTTTATACAAAACACCAACCTCATAAGTGAACACTTTTTAGATGGCTAATGAACCATGCAACTTGAATACTGGAGAAAATAAATTCTGAATGCTACATCAAAATGACAGTATCTGGATAGCTATTTTATAAAAGGAGAAGAGGAAGAAACAGGATGACTGAATCATGGCACTTGCCAAGAACTTAATTCAGAATCATACTTCACAGTGGTCGCATGTTTGTATTTGGAAATACTCATTTAATGATGTTATAGGGGGAATAAAAGGGGAAAACCCCATCAGCATGATGTTGAAGAACTAAAGCAGAGATCTACTATCAAAGTTATTCTCAACCTATGGGTCCCCCAGTGTTTTGGACTACAACTTCCAGAAATTTCAGACAGTTTACCAGTTGTTGTTTGTTTATTTATTTATTTATTTATTTATTTATTCTACCCCGCCCTTCTCTACCCCTGAGTGGGGACTCAGGGCGGCTTACAAAAAGGCACGATTTGATGCCTACACAAGATATACATACATACAAAACAGCAGTTAAAACAATTAACAAGTTAAAACAGTCGGTACATAACACAATTAATAAAACTAAATCTCGTGTTCAGCGTTCATCTTTCAGAGTTCCATAATTCCATTCCGTTTAGTCAATTCCTGTCCATCGTCAAGTCCATCGTCAAGACCTGTTAGCATTTCTGGGAGTTGAAGGCCAAAACATCTGGGGGCCCATAGGTTGGGAACCACTGTATTATCAGGAAAAGGTGATATGAGTTGGTCCATTTGCCTAAGACCCAGATTTCCCCAGCCAAAGTCTTTCCAGATGTTTCCACCTAGAACTTCCTATAGACTCCCCAGTATGTCCAAATGAAAGTTGTAAGCCAAACATGGAGGTAACTAGGTTGCAGAAGGCTATCCTAAGTGAACCATTAAACCAGCAGTTCTTAACCTGAAGCAATGTTTAACAGTTTCCATTTGCTTTGATTAAGTTGTTACAAGTGAACAATTGCAGTTTGGTGTTCACACAAATTACAGTATGCAAAAATCAAAGAAATTGTCGAAGGCTTTCATGGCTGGAATCACTAGGTTCTTGTGGGTTTTTTCGGGCTATACAGCCATGTTCTAGAGGCATTTCTCCTGACGTTTCGCCTGCATCTATGGCAAGCATCCTCAGAGGTAGTGAGGTCTGTTGGAAGTAGGAAAAATGGGTTTATATATCTGTGGAATGGCTGGGGTGGGGCAAGGAGCTCTTCCCTGCTGCAGTTAGGTGTGAATGTTTAGCTGATCACCTCCATTAGCATTTAAAGGCCTGCCTGAGCCTGGGAAAATCTGTTGCTGGGAGGTGTTAATCTGTGCCTGGTTTTTTCCTCTCTGTTGTTTAGCTGTTATAATTTTAGAGTTTTTTAATACTGGTAGCCAGATTTTGTTCATTTTCATGGTCTCTTCCTTTCTGTTGAAATTGTCCACATGCTTGTGGATTTCATGGCTTCTCTGTGTAGTCTGACATGGTGGTTGTTAGAGTGGGGTCCAGCATTTCTGTGTTCTCAAATAATATGCTGTGTCCAGGCTGGTTCATCAGGTGCTCTGCTATGGCTGACTTCTCTGGTTGAAGTAGTCTGCAGTGCCTTTCATGTTCCTTGATGCGTGTCTGGGCGCTGCGTTTGGTGGTCCCTATGTAGACTTGTCCACAGCTGCATGGTACACGGTAGACTCCTGCAGAGGTGAGAGGATCCCTCTTGTCCTTTGCTGAACGTAGCATTTGTTGGATTTTCTTGGTGGGTTTGTAGATTGTTTGTATGTTGTGTTTCCTCATCAGCTTCCCTATGCGATCAGTGGTTCCCTTGATGTATGGCAGGAACACTTTTCCTCTGGGTGGATCTTCATCTTTACTCTCGTGGCTTGTTCTTGGTCTTGCAGCTCTTCTGATGTCTGAGGTGGAGTATCCATTGGCCTGGAGAGCCCAGTTGAGGTGGTTCAGTTCATCTTGGAGGAGGAGGGGTTCGCAGATTCTTTTTGCACGGTCTGCCAAGGCTTTAATGGTGCTTCTTTTTTGACTTGGGTGATGGTTGGAGTTTTTATGTAGATATCTATCTGTGTGTGGGTTTTCTGTAAACGGTGTGACCCAATTGTTGATCTGGTTTGCGGATGACTAGGACATCTAGAAAAGGCAGTCTTCCTTCATTTTCTTTTTCCATGGTGAACTGGATGTTTGGGTGGATGCTGTTAAGATGGTCCAGGAACCTGTTGAGTTCTTCTTCTCCATGGCTCCAAATGGTGAAGGTGGCATCCACATATCTGAACCATATGTTTGGGTGGATGGTTGCTGTTTCCAGGGCTTGTTCTTCAAAGTGTTCCATGTAGAAGTTAGCTATGACCGGGCTGAGAGGGCTCCCCATGGCTACTCCATCTTTCTGTTCGTAGAATTCATTGTCCCACTGAAAGTAACTGGTGGTAAGGCAATGGTGAAACAGAGCTGTGATGTCTTCTGGGAACCTCTGGTTGATGAGTGCCATGGTGTCTGCTACCGGGACCATGGTAAATAGAGATACCACATCGAAGCTGATCAGTTTGTCGTTTGTATTTAGCTTGAGATTGCTGATTTTTTCTATGAAGTGGGCTGAGTCCTTGATGTAGTGTGTAGTGAGCCCAATATGGCTTTGTAACTGTGCAGCAAGAAATTTTGCTAGGTCGTATGTGGGGGATCAAAGAAATTATTTTCATAGCTGTTTGCTGGTATTTGTTGTTATAATGTCCTATTTCCAAAAAGAAAAAGAAAAAAAAGAGTAACTGTAAAGGAAGGATGTGATATCTATTTGGTCTTGGTACACATATTGATAAATTATATCCTAACAAATTTGTTATAGGAGAAGCATTTGTGCGCCACTGTCCACTAAGGATGCAGAAATGTAGATTGTGAGACTATGTGAACATTAAAAAGCTGTCTTGCACTGCGTCAGGCTTATTTATCTGAGTCCTATTTATTTTGATTAATGAAATCCGACAGAATGATTTCTGCATATGACCAATGGCTAATGAATAATGGTCGTGATGGTGAATAATGAATGTAATGTCCTCACTTACAGAATGGACTCAACGCCCTCCATCTTGCTGCAAAAGAAGGCCATGTGGGTTTGGTACAGGAATTACTGGAAAGAGGATCTGCGGTGGATTCTGCCACCAAGGTAATATACTCATTCTTTTTATAGAGAATTGAACTAAACTAGAAATAGTGGATGGTCCACATGTACCTCCCCAGCCTCCAGTGTACACCACTCATACATACAATGTACAACCTGTTTTTATTTATTTATTTATTTTTAAAGACCAATTGTTCCCATTTACCATGTTCTGGCTCCTCTGGCCTGATTTAGGTATATGGGGAAACTATTTTTTGAAAAACCAAAACTGTACAAACCCAAAACATTTCAAATGCACCTGAAAATGCATTACCTTCCCCTAAACTTTTTAAAGTAAAACATACCGTATATACATACATCTTAGTCTAGATTTTTTTGTTGTCAAAATTGTTCCTAAAAACTGGTCAACTTATCTATGGGTCTGTACCTTAATTCTTTTTTAAAAAATATCCCTTTCTATGAGTAGAAGAAAAAGCTTAGTCCATACTGGAAGGACCTAAAAGAAGTGTCAACCTATGTACTCTCTCCACCATGGTACTGTTTCTGGCCTTTTTGCATGCAAGGTTGTGAGTTTTTGTCGGCGTCTAACAATCTCTCTAGAAATCTCTAGAGAGCGTGTCCCTATGGTCTAATGCAGGCAGAAATTGGCAATAGAGGACCTAGATCTCCCTAAAGAGAAAATTTTAATCAAGTCATCAAATAATTTGCAAATGTAGATGGCTGACTAGGTAAAGGTAAAGACTTCCCCTGACATTAAGTCTAGTTGTGTCTGACTTTGGGTGGTGGTGCTGATCTCAATTTCTAAGCCAAAGAGCCGGCATTGTCCATAGACACCTCCAAGGTCATGTGGGCAGCATGACTGCCTGGAGTGCCATTATTGTATTTGCATGTTTTCAAACTGCTAGGTTGGCAGAAGCTGGGACTAACAACAGGAGCTCACCCTGCTCCCCAGATTCGAACCTTTCAGTCAGCAAATTCAACAGCTCAGCAGGTTAACCCACCAGGGCCTGATTACAATATGAGTAATGTTTATTATTACATTGCTTTGAACAACCACCGTATGATAAATTATTATAAATGCATCTGTGTTTTTATCTTTACAAAACAGAAAGGCAATACTGCGCTGCACATTGCATCCTTGGCAGGACAGGGTGAAGTGGTCAAAGTTCTCGTTAAGGAAGGAGCCAATATTAATGCACAATCTCAGGTATGTAGACAATTACTCTTTTTTGAAGTTTAATGTTGTACCAAGTATTATTTGTCTTGTGTTGGCAAGGTTAATTAGTCAAACATACAAACAAATATAGATGCAGACAGAATGAGGTGCTCTGCTTATTTATCACAATAGAAAATATTAAAAAGTTACTGATAGTTGGAGTATGTTGAGGAAAGTTGTCCCTTTTGCCATTTGTGTTCAGGACAGCAGTTTCTTTAGTGACAGACCAGCTAGATGGTAAACATTTGAGCTGAGAATTTCTGGCATTGAAGTTAACTAACTTTAATTGTTGTTGTCACATGTCTTCAAGTTGTTTCCAATTTATGGCCACCCTAAGGTGAACCTTTCATGGAGTTTTCTTGTCCAAACATGCCTTTGTCTTCCTCAAAGTCTGAGAGAATGTGATTCATTCAAGGTCAGCTAATGGATTTATTTATGTGAGTGATGATTTGAACCCTGGTCTCTAGAGTCATAATCAATATTCAAACCACTTCATCACAATGGTTTTCTTATTTTCTTATTATCTTTTTATTTATTTATTTCTAGAAGGTTTTCCCTTTTACTCTTGTCTCTAGCATACTTTGGCATTATGTTCTGACCTCTGATCTTTCCTCATCAAATGGAATAATTGAATTAGTTAGTTCTTCAGTTATCTTTATTAGTGTCAGTAATATTTAGAGCAGTGGTTTTCAACCTGTGGGTCCCCAGATGTTTTGGCCTTCAACTCCCAGAAATCCTAACAGCTGGTAAACTGGTTGGGATTTCTGGGAGTTGAAGCCAAAACACCTGGGGACTCACAGGTTGAGAACCACTGATTTAGAGATATTTCTGATAGTTGGGTTGTTGTAGGTTTTTTCGGGCTATATGGCCATGTTCTAGAGGCATTTTCACCTGACGTTTCACCTGCATCTATGGCAAGCATCGTCAGAAGTAGTGAGGTCTGTTGGAACTAGGAAAATTGGGTTTATATATCTTGGAATGTCCAGGGTGGGACAAAGAACTCTTGTCTGTTGAAGCTAGGTGTGAATGTTTCAACTGACCACCTTGATTAGCATTTGATGGCCTGGCAGTTTTTTGGTGTGGCTTGTTAGTGGCTGGGGGATTTTTTTGTTCAGAGATGATTAGCTGTCCCTGATGGTTTCCTCTCTGTTCTTTTGCTGTTGTAATTTTTTAAAATACTGGTAGCCAGATTTTGTACATTTTCATGGTTTCCTCCTTTCTGTTGAAGTTTTCCACATGTTTGTGGATTTCAATGGCTTCAGGATTTCAAAGAACTGCCAATGCATCCCATGAAAGTGCCTATTACAAGAACTGTCAGCCCACAAAGGCCTGCTTAAACAAAGAGATCTTTGCTGTCCTACAAAAGACTAGGAAGAGAGTTCCAAAGCCTGGAAGCAACCACTGAGAAGGCCCTAACCCATATTAACACCAGATGTAACTCTGACAATGCAGTACTCAACTCTTGTTTATTTACAAATATACATAGCTTGACTCCTGTATATTAATAAATTATTACAGTGTACAGTTGATCTTTTGTGGATAAGAAAAGTTTGTCTGACCCTCTTCATCAGTGATTGTCAAACTGCAGATGTGCATGCTGCACCGATTTATTTCTCATTGTTATTTGGTTAAAGAGCAGCATTTCTTTATAGCATGGGAAACTGATTTTGAAACTTGAGGGCAAGTGTGGATACAAAGATGTGCAATGAATTATATGACCTTGATACACAATTTGTCAGAATGTCCTTATGGACAAACCCAATTGAAAAGGAATGCCAACTTTGCCAGGATAGTGGTAATATCTATAGGGATTGCTCAGGGAAATTTCTGAATAGTCTACATGCTGTGTCTTTTATTTCATAACAGGAAGGAGTAGCCCCAAATTGTCAGGATCAGAGTGTCAAATTTATGAACAGTAGTTATTCATAAGGCATGACTACAAAGCAGCATCTGGAAAAGTGCTCTCTCCCTCCCTCTCTCTCTTTTACATGGATGGAAGTGCCGCAGTATCTCAGTCAGTACTCTTTGAACTATTTTGGTAGCTGCTGACTCACACCAGCAAACAGAAGAGGCTTCAGAAAAAGAAACAGTAGAAAGAAATTTACAAATCATAAGAAGGCATCTCTAGCGTGATAGAGTCCCCCTCACCTTAAGTTTAATCCGATGGGAGTTTGTAGCATTAAAGACCCTCAGGCCACAGGTGAATGTCAGTCTTTACAAACATACACACACAGAAAGAGCCCTAGGTGCATAATGGTTGAGTAAGGCATGCAGTTTCAAAGCAATATAGATTAACCTTTGTGTACTAGGATACAACGCTCGATTGACCTAGGGTCACCTTGTACAGTAGAATCTGCACAGAATTGCATCTACAGTGGAGGTATTATGTGCGATTATATGTGATCTGAGCAATCTTCCTAAATTTCAGCCACTTGTCAATTGCAGCACATTTTAAAAAATAATGACAGCAATTATAATTGCGTGGTTTGAGCATGCTTCCCCCTCCCCCCAAGGAAATGCAATATGCTGGGTTTTTAAAAAATGCTTCATGCTGATTTTGGGTGAACTGTGACACAGAGAAGCTTAAATGAAATTGTCTATAGATTGACTTCATTGAGGATGTACACTGGAATTCTCATCCAGGTCAGGAAATAAAAGAAGTACAGATGAAAACATAACCCTCACTGCATTCAAATATCACTGGAGTAAAACTAAAATTTATTCAGAGATTTAAAAACAATTATGGTGCATCCAGGTCACCTTTTTTGGTGTGAATGCACTTTTTTACAGTTGTAGAGAATCATGTAAACCCATTGGATTATCTGTGTGTGGAGGTTTCTGCCATGCCTTCCTTATGGCTCTCCTTAGTTCACATTCCAAACATCTCCTTCTTACTAATCACACATATTTATTTGAAGTACCCTTAGATACATTCTACACACACATACCACTCTGATGCTGACACAAGATGATGATACAGTCCAAAAGCTGACCTTTGATTCTTGTTTCCCATTGACTTCCTTCCATAATACCACAGAGGGGATATTTTCCTTTCAAAACATCTGAGCAGTTGGAATAGTCATGAATGAACCCTCCCTAGCATTGCACCAATTGTTAGGGAGGGCCCATTTTAGTGCTCCCTAGCCAGAGTGTTTGTATCTTAGAGTTATGGGAGTCCAAAGTCTTCAGCCTGTGCCAATTTCATTATTCCCTGCATTTATGGATTTTTTTTCTCAGATGGATGCCGGTGGTGATAGAATGGTGTTGGCAAAAGCACTATCTTTCTGCAAATGTGTATGTGCTTTGTGTTCTACTGTGCCTTCATGTTATTTCCAACATATGGCAACCCCAAGGAAAACCTGGGACAGGGTTTCCTTGACAAGCTTCATTCATGAGGGATTTGCTTTTGCCTTCCTCTCAGGCTGAGAGAATGCAACTTGCTCCATGTCATTTTAATGGTACCTCATTAATATATCTGCCATCATAGCAAATGCCCTAAAAGGCTAGCTAAATTTGTGTACTTTTTGCAAGTGGTCTTGCTTATTTTGCTTTTTGGGTCACTTGTGTGGTATAAATAACACAGCCCTTTTTCTTTGTAGCCTACTAGGGTAGTAGGCAAACTTGTTATGGCTCTCTGGATTGCAATAAATCTCAATTAGCCTGGGTTCATGTTAGCTGTTCCTTAATACAGAATAACTTTAACATTTCTTGTCTGATGCACATTATTGCATTTTATTCTATAGCTATTACCAGTTACTGCAGATTTATTTAAATTTATGGCTCCACTTTTGGGTATGCAACAAGCAATAGGTTTAGGTAATAAGATGAACAGCTTTTTGAACTGAAATATCAAGGTGCATATTATTATGCAAAAGAATCAGGGAACAAAAGAGAGGAGAACAATGAAACAGAACTGAGCAGCATGAGCTCAACACTTCTGTTATTTTCACTTCCCACAAAGGCATTTTCTGATTCATTTTTACTAATTTTGATAGAAATAAAAATGGTAATATCTGTGGGGAAACCCAAAGTAAGAAAGAGAAATTGAATGCCAGTGAGCTGACAATGAGGTGATTCTAACCCTTGTTTCTGAGCCATACTTAAAAATCTCCTGACGTTTCACCTGCATCTATGGCAAACATCCTCAGAGGTAGTGGGGTCGGTTGGAACTAGCAAAATTGGGTTTATATATCTGTGGAATGACTAGGGAGGTAGCTAAGTGTGAATGTTTCAACTGACCACCTTGATTAGCATTAGAGGTGGCAGCTAATCACCTCTGAACAAAAGATTCCTTCAGGCACTAACAAGCTACACCAAAAAACTGTCAGGCCATCAGATGCTAATCAAGGTGGTCAGTTGAAACATTCACACTTAGCTCCAGGAGACAAGAGTTCTTTGTCCCACCCTAGTCATTCCACAGATATATAAACCCAAATTTGCTAGTTCCAACAGACCTCACTACCTCTAAGGATGCTTGCCATAGATGCAGGCGAAACATCAGGAGAGAATGTCTCTAGAACATGGCCATATAGCCTGAAAAAACCTACAACAACCCATAAAGTATAATCTTTACAGGGTGCATATGATGATATATTCCAGTTTTTCAGCCAGCTTTTTGATGGTACTAAATGTTCCAGGCACTGTCTTACACTCAGTGTAACAGGTGTTTGGTTCCTGAATTCTGATTCAAACAGAATTGAGTCAGAGAGTAAAGATCACCAGCCTCAAGAATTAAATGACAGGCATCCTAGTGCATTAATATATTTTCCCCATTAAAATCATGTTACAGTTACATGTACCAACATTTCAGGTTGGTTGCAACAAATCAAAGCTCTCAGCTATGATTTCCAGGATCCTTTATAAGAATTTTGCCTCCATAAGTTAATTTATATCAATTGAATTAACTGATTTGTCCACTATCACTCATATAGAGAACGAAATTGACTAAGATTTGTAAAGTTTGATAACAGATTATCAGTCATGTCTCCTTTAAAAATTCAGATAAATCTAGCTGCAGACATTTTATACAACTTGATGATGATATCCAGTATCGATACAGTATCGATAGTGGTGCTAGTTTGATGGAGCTAAATCATGGTTTATTAGACTGAGAGGAAACCTGCACTTTTCCTTCTGTTCCCATTGCTGTTCTTCTCCCACACTTGGATCTGGTGTATCTATCATGTTTCACTTCCTGCTGTATCATAACCAGGAGAGAGTCTTAGGACCTGGTCACACACACCCTGCTATTTCTGACAGTGTTTTTGATGATTGAGTGAAAACAGCATTTAGTTTAAACTGCATGTGAAGAGAAGTTATAGTACTTCATGATTTAATGCAATCGAGGGGTGTGACATTGAAGAAATGTAAGCAATGTTGCTTCTGATATCAGATGGAAGAGAAGACGAAACTTTGTTGTTCTTTTGCCATGATGTGACTGAGATCGGACATGCTTTTAAGGCTGTGCTGTATATACTTTGTAAGTAAAGCAAAAAGAACCACTCTTTTCGAAAGCTAACTTTTGAAGTCTGTTTGAAGTGATTTACGATACTTCATGCCTTTAAGGACAGAGTCTTTGAAGGTCAAGAAGAGGAGATAAAGCCAGCTGATTTATGATCACTTTATCTCAATTTCCTGACAGTTTCACCAGCAGTTTTGATGCCCTGCCCGGCAGTGATTTCTCCATCACATGCGGGAAGCATTGCCCAACCCGTGTTGACAAGGAAGTGTCCTAGGACACTTCCATGCCAGTTGGGAGGCAGGGCCTCCACTGGGAGTTGAGGAATGTCATGTGATGGGTTGCATGCCCATCCATCCTTCAACTGGCTGGATGTTATGTTAAAGCTGGTTCAGAGAGCTAGTTATTCAGCAGCAAGGATAGCTTCAAGTGACAATCTTATTTCAGCAGTGACCAGAGTTAACTTGATGCTCAGGACTGTACCTTCCAGGTTCCATACGTCCCACATGAGATCATAGAATCATAGAATCATAGAATCAAAGAATCAAAGAGTTGGAAGAGACCTCATGGGCCATCCAGTCCAACCTCCTGCCAAGAAGCAGGAATATTGCATTCAAATCACCCCTGACAGATGGCTATCCAGCCTCTGTTTAAAAGCTTCCAAAGAAGGAACCTCCACCACACTCGGGGGCAGAGAGTTCCACTGCTGAACGGCTCTCACAGTCAGGAAGTTCTTCCTCATGTTCAGATGGAATCTCCTCTCTTGTAGTTTGAAGCCATTGTTCTGCGTCCTAGTCTCCAGGGAAGCAGAAAACAATCTTCAAACATTGAAGCTCTGTGTCCTTTTCAGGACTTCTTGCTAAATGAATTCTTGGCATGAACAAGCTAGTCCCTAGAGCTCCATGATGCTCTTAGAGATGGCCTATCTCAATCTTCTAAGTGTCATATACGATTGGATCAGAGGTGTTAGGCATGGCTAAGTCATTTTGTCTTCTCTCAGGGGCATCAGGAATGGTTGGTTTGGTGGTGGCATTTGATCACAGTGCCTCCCCTGTAGGTTGCTTGGTGTCCAAATCATTACTGGATCCTTGAGATATGATATCATGTGTAGAACAAGCTCTCTTTTTCAGAAAGTGTCTCTTGATGCCAGGGGCATCAACATACACTCTTTTCTTATGATCTTATTCAGTTACAGACTGCTTACATGGGATTACCATTAAGTCTACAAAATTGAATTTCTTTTACAAATAGGGTTCCCTATAAAACCAAATCAGTGTGTCTGATAGTAGTTTAATTTTTTGCTGCTGTTCTTTTACCCTACAATAAAATATGAACTCAAAACAAGGAGCCAAAAATAAATAAGTGGGCAAAGGCCTAATGTATATTCAAAGACTCATAATGAGGAATGTGAACTGCTTTTATTAAGTGGGCATTACGTCCTCAACTCACCCTTATAGAGAGAGCAAGAGAGAATCTTGTCTGGTGAGATAAAATCCTCTTATGAGGCATTTATTTATAGTACAGCTGATAATAATGCTTTTGGGCATGCTGCAGAATAAAAGTTTGCAGAATCCTGATCATCTTTGTCCTTTCATTATGTCATTGAGTGTTAAGAGCAGAAGTCTTAATAGAAATAATTTTTGTTGATTTATAACTTAGGTCTAAGTTAATTTATTCTAAGTATTATTACCACCTCTCCTTCTTAAAGCTAAATTTAAATAGTTCACAATTTTGCACAAATGATTTGACTCCGTGTAATTTCTATATTTTTAAAGACAGAGAAAATGAATTTGTTTGAGATGTGAAGAGATAGAAAGATAGTATAGGTTGATGAATTTCGTAGACTACATTCTGATAACAAATAGAGAGTGGGATAAAGCTATGTAATCAAAATGGCTAAATAGAATAGGCTGCATCTATACCACAGTAGCTATGCTTCTTAGTATTGAGTATATATATATTTTGGGCTAAAATGCTGCTGTTGTGATGATAGTCATTGGAGTTTGAAAATCCTTAGATGTGTGGTTTCACACACCATTTTATGAGAGCCAGCATAGTGCAGGGTTTGAACATTAGCCTATGACATTGAGACACCGGGTTTCGAATCCCCACTTAGCATGGAAGCCCTCTGGATGACTTTGGAGAAGTCACACTCTTCTGGTCTCAAAGGAGACAAAGCCAAACTCCCTCTTATCAAAGTTTGCCAAGAAAACTTCATGATAGGTTTGTCTTAGGGTTGTCATAAATCAGAAATAACATGTAAGCATACATGAACAGTAAATGCATGCCACTCGCTTTTTGTAATGAAGTGGATGTGTTCCTCAAGCCATAGAGATGTCATCCAGCATCACAGGGGGATAAACTTGCAGCTTATGTCAGAGGAATATTATGTTTTTGACTAAAGATGTGCATAATGCTGACATTAGAAAGTGTGGAACACCCAGTTGGTAAGCTAATGCATCTGCTTTGTGGATTGCCTTTGGAGTAACATTTTTCTGAAGACAAAATAAGTCTGTATATACCTAGGTAAACAAATGTGGGCCTTTCTGTACATGCAAAAGTTTGAAACTGCATTTAAACCACATGTTTGATTGATGATCACTGAGTGGGTAATAAGTCTCTTTGATTGCTAAAAACAACAGAGATGTGGCCAGAAATCTTCACGCATTTGTGATTACCATCATGTAAGCATTTCTATGCAATGCAAGTGGCAAAACATGAATGTTAGACCTATAATGATAACAAAGCAAAAATAAATAAGTATGCTTCAACATGTAAATGGCTTTCTGCTCAAGGTCTATTCTTACAAAGATCATTAGGCCACTTTGAATTCATGTTATGAGCATTTATATAATTAAGCGTTCAAAAGCATAATGTGTATTTCTGTGCATATAATACAATTAATGTGTATTCTAAAGTCAATGAGATGTAACCAGTAAAATAATCTAGATAGTTACCTGTCGCTTAGTTATTCACAGAAATTGAATCAAGCCAAAAAGATGAAAATGTTCTGTTTTTGTTTCTATCAAATTAACAGTTTCCTTGCACTTGTGATCTTGGATAAAATTGTAGCAACGTTGATAAATTAAATTATTTCAACACCATTGTATTATATTGCATTGTAAGAATTAAATATTGTAGTCTGATAGACTGAGGGTTTTATTGAACCCTGTAGTGATTATGCCCAAGTAAGCTGAGGATTTGAATCTAACCATTTCTACTGGAACCTTTTTAGCATATTATGATATTCTGTTGATCAGGATATCTACTAAATTTTTTGCTGTCTTCTCATATTCTACAAAACCAAAGATTTTATGTCCTTTTAAAATCCATCAAATAATAATATAACTTTTGCAGCTGAGTTATTAGCTTGATAAATAGTTTTAGAATTCTACTGTATTTGCAGTTTCTCTTGAGGTCATGGTTTTACAATGCCTGGTGGGATACCTTCAGTTAAATAAAAATGATACATTAATAGATTTTTTTTCTTTTACTCACCAGTCCTAATAAAAATTATTGCCAGTTTTATAGTGTCACTTTCATAAAAAGTAAGTGGAAGAATAATGAATTCTTCTAGTGAATGACAAGTCAGCTGAAATGCTACAAAAAGATTATCAAGGGGAAATTGTGTGAACTTTCTAAGTCATTACCAAACAGTATCAGCTTTCATTCTTTAAGACTAAAATGAGAATTTTACAACCTTCCAGATCTTGTTGAACTTCTTGCATTCCTCAAAGTTGTCTATATTGGTTAGAGTTCTTCAAAGTTGCTGGTCAACAGCTCCAGGAATGCGGCACAATTATAAAGATATTTTACACTGTAATTGGTCTTAAGAGGGTAAAAGTTAATATCAATGTATCTTTACCAAGACAATATTATTGTCAATTTCTGTTACTGATATGGCATTTAAGACATATATTTAATAGTATATCCTATTCATTAGAACAGTAAGACTCCTTTTTCATACAGCATCCTGAATTTTCAAGTGCAACAGTTCTATTTTTTTTAGATTCTACTTATAAACAACACATGCAAAAGTTCTGGGAAAAGATGCTATTTTTATGTATATTGTTTACTTGTTTCTCACTGCAATTCTTTATTTTGTGTCTCTCCCAGAATGGCTTTACTCCATTATACATGGCAGCTCAAGAAAACCACATTGAAGTAGTAAAATACCTTCTGGAAAATGGAGCCAATCAGAGCACTGCTACTGAGGTACAGTACTTTTGAGAAAAAAAAAACCCAAACGTTTTTAGTTTCTTTGATTCCTTCACTCTGTTTATTTGCTCCTACTGTACTAGTAACATCTGCCACAGAAATAGAAATGGACAAATGTTTCTACTCCAACAGCTTTGTGTATTCCCATAGCGCATTTCCACTTTTAGCAGTGAGGCCATGGAAAGTGGTCCCTTTTCAGTCCCTTCATTTGACACCTTCTCTGGTATGGCATAAACCCACCACAGGGCATTCTACACAGTATGACATTTATTGGAGTTGCACTCAAGCCAAGCTAGTCTTTGTTAACAGCTGTTTAGCCATCCTTTCATTCAGTGGATATTATTTCACTGGATGAAGGTTCCTAAAATAATCTTTTCTGTTGCTGGAATGGATTGAGATCATGTTACCATTGCAGATTTGCAAGGGTATGAGATTCTGGGTGGTTGCTAAGCAACTGGACAAAAACAGTATTTGTAAAAGAATCACTGGATGTCTTGAAGCTCAGAGTGGTATGTGTGAGTGTGAATGAGAGAGAGAAATGCTGCAGTTTTATTTACAATATTACCACCAATACATTAATATGAAACTGCAACTGCAACTCCACCCCCTTTCCAGACAAATTAATTTGTTCCACCTTAGATTAATATGAATTTGACTATTGTGGTCTTATTATCCTAAGAAAGAATAGCAATTGTGTTAGTCCAAGGCTAGCAGAGCATGAAAGGAGATGCCATTTTCAGGTGGATCTAAAACCTTTCCATTACTGAGTTCATTTGGAGCAAAACCTCCTCCTATGCCCTGAAGCACTGGTTTATGCAAAGTATAGAAACCTCAAGCATCTGACACTAAATTCACAGTACTAGATAACAATACTGTCAGCAATCCATTATTAGATCCAGTGGGATTTTGCCCTTTATTCTCTTAACAAGCATCATTCCATTGTTGTTGTTAGATGCCTTCAAGTTGACTTTGATTTATGGTGAAATTATTCATAGAAGGATTGCTGTTGCTTTGTTCTTGGACTAACTTGCCAGAGGTCACCCTGTGGGTTTTCGTGGCAGAACAAAGCTGTGAATTCTGCACTCCCAGAGTTTTAGTCCAATACTCAAACCATCACATTTATTCCTGACTATTGGTCTATATCCTGATTTTGACATTTTAAATGTTTGGACAGAGATATCCAGGTTTCCAGGTTATGGGAGGGGAAAATTTCATTCAGTTCACACCTCAACAGGAATATACAAATTTCATATTTCTCAAGTCAACATACAAATTGGAATACAATTATCCCTCGATAATGTCACAGAATTTTGTCTCTGAACAAAGAATGCATAGAAATATCTGAAGAACAGACAAAGGCAGATACAAAAAAGAAAGCTTCTTTTAGTAGAAAATGCACAAACATTACATCTAGGAAAATGGTTTCCAAAAATGTATTCACTGTGTAAAATTGTGAACAAAAATGACTTTGGAAGGGAAGTTGTACATAATTATTTTTAAATGGCACATTGATGCACAGAAGATGGAATGGTTTTAAGATGGGAAAGTGGATTAACTGGGGAAAAAACCCAATAGTTTTATCCATACATACGTGTGCTCAGGATCTCCAGATCAGAAGCAGTGGGGAAGACTAGATCTGTCCTTCTTCACCACCCACACATTAGTGTGGTGCTTTTATAGTTTGGTCTTACAGATATATTTGCAATTAACATGTATATCTCCTGTCTACACTGCCAAACATCTCTCTCTCTCTCTCTCTCTCTCTTGCTTTCTCTTTTATCAGGTTATACTTTCTGAGCTCTTAGCTTAAGCTCTGTATTGCAGATTTATTAAGAAATCTGGGCAACATGACTTGTACACACCTAAAAAAAATTCTGGGTTGTGATTATATAAAAAAACAATGATCTGAAGTTTAACTAAATGTTTGCTGCACCTTCTCTGGGTGCTGCATTCTTTAAAAAGTTTGATACACCTTAATTATAAATAAATATTAAAATCATGCAATTTCACAGTGTAATAAAATGCTGATTTTTAAAATGGGGTCACATTTCTTAAGGTAAATTTATTTTGACGTTTCTCTCAATGATTGGGTATCTGTTTCCAAAGTTGTCTTTTTCCACTCTGAATTTAATAAATAATTGTATTCTGAAGCATTTAATTATTATTGAGTTAGGTCATTTTAGATTCTGGGCTAACTGGGTACTGTCAGTAGAGGAAGGCAGTGTGATAGCAAAATCCCATTCATTTTTCCTCCTGGATTAGCACAATTGTCATAGTGATCCCAAGGTATGCAGTTGGTTGCACAGCCATTTATTTATTTACTTACTATATTTATATTCTACCGTTCTCATCCCAAAGGGGGCTCAGAACGGCTCACAAGTAGGTAACAATTCAATACCGCATAAACAGATATACACATAATAATAAGAGTCATCATCATCATCATCATCATCATCATCATCATCTTCTTCTTCTTCTTTATTTATACCCTGCCACCATCTCTGCAAAGGGGACTCGGAGTGGCTATCATGAGGCCAAGCCCAAAATTACAGAACAGCAAAGTAAAATGCAAACAAGCAAATAATAACATCAAAATAAGATACATAAAATAACAGAATATACAATAAACAAATACAAAATAACATGGTGGAGGAATAAAATAAATATAAACATAAGTTAAAAACATCTTGACATTAAAACCAATTATTGAAAAACAGAATTCAAAGTCATAGCCAGGATCTGTTCCAGTTGCATTTGCACAATTCTGTATTCACTTATTGCACTGAAATAAGTGAATATCAGTCATGTATGCATTGTGCAGAGGTTGTAGAAATGCTTGTGCAATCAGTCAAGTGACTGGTACTATATTTTTTTGCAAATTGACGGTTCACTGAAAATTGTTAAATTGCACAATTTTTGCACCATATGGAACTAGTTGATCATGAGTGCAATGTCATTTTTACTAACATTATGAAAGGTTGGGTTTGGGGATTTTAAAGAGGAATTCTAATGATCATCTATTCCGTTAAACCAGCTTTGATATACTGGAGTTGGGGCATTTTGCTCATTCTTCTAAGCAAAACCCTAGAATTTTCTCCTAAATCATGCTGTGATGGTACCACTGTTAGACTGATGTGCTGTATTTTCTTTCCTCTGCAACAGGATGGCTTCACTCCATTAGCGGTTGCACTGCAGCAAGGTCATAACCAGGCAGTGGCTATCCTTCTGGAGAATGACACAAAAGGGAAAGTGCGTTTGCCAGCATTGCACATTGCTGCCAGGAAAGATGATACCAAGTCAGCAGCACTTCTGCTCCAGAATGATCACAATGCTGATGTTCAGTCTAAGGTAAAAATAGTGTTGTTTTTGTTGCTGTTCTACAGTGTTGGAACATCACCAAAAGTGAATTATTTTGATGGGCTGCTTCATACATTGAGCAAGGCAAGTTACGCCTCTCTTCTAGGAAGGAACTACAGCCTTTTGCAGTTCCCTGTGTGATTAATATATATTTTATCACATGTTGTGTTATTTTTAAGTGCATGCATAAAACACCTTGCATTTACATCCAAGATTAAGATGTGTATTAGGTAGCCCTATGAAATTTATAACCATTCCATTGCTATAAAAAGATTAATGCAAACAATTCTGCTTTTCCTTTGGTACGGGTTCCTGAAACCAGTATCTACAATAATGCATTATTTTTATCATGGATTTGGAAGAAGAAGAGAATAGTTTTTGAAAATAGAATGGTCTCAGCTCTGCTGTTTTCTTTATAGGCAGTTGACATTATATCAATTTGCAAGGTACTCTCCTACCATGACTGGTATTTCAAATTCAGTCTTTGTAAATTTGGCAATTTACATAGACAAATCAGTTGTTGAGACAGTGTAATTCTTGGATAATATACTGGTTTGTGGCCCATGAAAATGTGGATGGCAAACATTTAAATTTTAAACTAACTCATAATTGTCACTCCTTTCTTCCTTAATAACAGAATAATGCATTTCAGTGGACAACTTGGTTCTGTTTTTTCTGATAATCTGTAATATTTTTCCTTTTTTCTCCAAAACATGCTGCAACAGATGATGGTGAATAGGACAACTGAGGTACCAAAAACCTAGTTTTTAAAATCTCCTCTCACTCCTATGGATAAATGCTATACATTTCTATGATGTCGGAATTCTCTCCAAAATGTGTCTTACTTCATATCTGACTTATATCAGTGGCAGACATTTTCTGTTTTCTCTTTTGCTTTTATTCTCTGCAAGCCCCCTGACAGCTTTGAGACAGTTTAGGTTGTTGTTTTTAGAAACTCTGCATTAGAAATGAGAGTATGCCTTTGAAGGTATTTTTAAATACGGTACAATTGCACATAACATCATGCTATAAATCTAGCACTATCGCTAAAATTGGTTGCTAGGGATAGTTATTCTGGAATGACACATTTGTGGATCTCAGAGGAAGACTCCCCCATCCCCAAGCTATGGAATTTAACATCTATGAGGTCACTGCAAAAACACCCCTTCACCCTATATACTGTTCACCATTTCTCACTAATGCCCTCATCAGATAGGGGAAGAATCAGTGGCATCCTCCACTTTGCTGCTCCTTTAAGTACAGAGCCTGTTGGCTCCCATTACAGCACAACTACTTCTGGCTCTGTGCTTAAGGGGGTGGCAAAAAAGAGCATGCCACCATGGCGGTGACATGGAAGAATGGGGGGGGGGGGTGGACAGTCATTGCTTCCCCCCATAGGTGATTCGGGTGGGTTTTCCATGCCCCCCCCCCCCACCGGATGTAAACTGCTGAAATTGCCATGATGCATAGTGATTCTGGTGGCCTTTATGGTGAGGTCATAAGACAGTTTTCAATATCTGAATCAATTCTTTTTCCATTAAAATGTGAAATACTCACCCCACAAATGAGAATGGTTATATCACATGACTAATGATACATTTGACTTAAAGAAACAAAACAACGTGTATTGGCCCAAACAATTGAAGTCTGTGTCCACAGAGCTAAAGTTCAAATGCAGATTGTATTACCATTAGGGCTAAGCTGAATTTTCATAAAACTAACATATATATCAATGTTCATATCAGCAGGATATGGCTGCTCTTGTTTCTCAGACAAAACAATTATTTGTTTTGCATAGTATCTGCAACTGGGAGAGACAGTGTTTTTAAAACTGTTTTTAAAAGATGGACAAGAGTGTGTTCATTTAAATCATTAAACAAATTTGGACTTTAAACAAAGGTAGCATTTGTGAACTATGCAAATAACTCGTTCTCAGGGCTTCAGATTATCAACCAAGAAATTCCATGGGCCTCTGGAGCTATAAAACACAGCCAGTAGGGGAGCTAAGTGGAAAAAATACATATTGAGGATCTGATATAGGAGATACATAAAATGGGAGCTCTTCTTTAATTCTCTATACTGCATTTGCATTTGTGTACAAAATATGAAAACTTTCGATCTTTAAAATGCAATTTTATAAATCCAGCCACAACAGAGACACTGAATATATTTCTGAATAATAAGTCAACACTTATATAAATACCATTGATTCAGTGGGTCTGCTATAGCTGGGACAAGTAAAATTGGGACCAAGATTTATATTCTACTGCTTATTCTGATATACTTTGACAATGCTCAGTATGAATAATATTTGGCTTTCCCATGGGAGATGGATAGACCAATATCCCATTGGTCTTTTAAAAATGCAATTTTTTGGAAAACATTAAAAAGTTTTGTGAAGAAACTGGTCAAAATGTATAAAGGAAGAATCAAGTATTGGAAATGTAAAGAACAAGAAGGAACTTTCTTCCACATGTGTTGCTCCTGTAAAAATCAAGAGAACTCTGGGGTAAAGTACAAAAAACACTGCAAGAAATTTTAAAATCCAGGCTACAATTAGAGCCTGAATTATTTTTATTGGGAATGTCAATTAAACAAAATCACTAAACTACAAAGTATTGCACTGCATAATAACCATAACATGGACATTATATGCACAACATTGGAAGAAGGCAGACCTCCTGACAATAGAAGAATGAATAGTTAAAGTTTTTAAAATAGAAGAAATAGATACATTAGCAATGATGAACAAAGAAAAAACACACAAAAAAACTTTATCAAAGACTGGGAGCCATTTCTAAACTTTGTAATCAAATAAAAGAAACCGGGAAAAGTTTTCATAGAAGGCTACATAATTCAATAGGTTAGAATCTTTGTTGGGAATTTATTAATAATAACTATTAGGCTAGAAGGAAGAATAGAACTGAATGTCTCCAACCTAATGGACAGGAAGTCATCATAATGGGATAATAATAATAATTTTTAAAAATTATTTGTACCCTGCCACCATCTCCCTGAAGGGATTCAGGACACCGAACAAAGCACTCCAAAGTGCTGTACATAAAATAATGAAAGGAGGGAAGGGTGTAGTCAAATACAACTGCAGTGTTGTACAAATGTTAGCTAATATTGCACTGGTCCATCTATATGTATACACCTCTGTATAGATTTGTTTCATTTGTTTTTTTTAATGAATGTGTTAATCCACACATGCACACACATTATAAAAAGAGTTTTGTGAAGGTTCATAAGAAGTAAATTGAAGGCCAATATCTTCCTTTGCAGGCAAAAATGTACACTTTTTATAGCTTTTGTGGGGAAAAGTAACCTTTCCTAGCTCTTATTCTCATAATTGTGAAGGGAGATGTCTTGGCTCTGTGCTCATTAGGCTGAGATACTGTGCTAACTCAGAAGTTGAACTTCTGAGCTCCGTGGAAGCAACATTTCTTCTGGAGTAAAAATTTGATCAGAAGGCTAAAAAATTGAGTCCAAACTAATACAAAATAAAATCCTCCAAATACATTCGCTGTACTAATAGGTGGAGTCTTTATTTATCTGTTAAAGAAGAAAGTAGGATTAAATACTGTGTGATCATAGTAGGTTGATTTTGGGGGAAATAATGCTTGGTATTAATGTACTCTAGTTTCTAAAAGAGAAATACTTTCTTATGCCAAAATACCCCCAAATGCTTTCTGATTATGACTGGTTGTTTCCTTTTGCTTTTCAGAGTGGCTTCACGCCTTTGCACATAGCAGCACACTATGGAAATGTCAATGTAGCAACACTTCTGCTCAACCGGGGAGCTGTTGTGGATTTCACAGCAAGGGTATGGATAGTTTTCTTTTTTTACATGAAAGTCTAAGAGGATGAGTAACTTTTGTTAAATGTCTATTTTTGTTAAAGAAAATAGAAAAGGCATACCAAGATGGCTTTCTTTTAAGGTATGGTTGAATATTCAATTGAAGCAAATGATCCTTGCATATATTCTGTAGAAGTTTATCACCAGGTAGACCATTCTTTCCAGTTAGAGGATCACTGTTTATAATACATTCATTTTATCTGTATATGGGCATAAATAAAGTAGACACACATACTTACTGAATTATTACTAGCACTGTTGACATTCTGAAAAAGCTGTGGGGAAGCATATGTCATAAAAACATTACTTGTTTATCTCAACAAGCAATGGGCTAAATCTGATCTAACTTCCAATGTGAATAAATTCATGGAAAGCTTTGAATTTTTTGTTTAATGCATCTCACAAGTGTTTCAGTGGATCTGCTTAAAAAAATTATTTGTACCCATATAGTTATATGTATATTTTGCTATTGATCAGTAGACTGGTGCTACACTTCAACTAATTTGGAAATATTCAAGTGAAAGTACAATACATGTTCCTAAAATGTCTGAATAATGTCTTCTCACACAAACATATTTGAGCACTGTTGTAAATGCAAGGTCCAGATCTGTTTAACTTCTTCATTGAGTATATAGTGGCATGCTATCACCTTGCTTTCTTACTTTGGCACCCTGTTTATGGGATCTCCTCTACCTCTGGCTCCTTTGCTACTTATTTATTTCAGCAGCTTTAGTGGGATTTAAAACTATGATTGGCTGTTGATGATGTGCTATACATTATTGTTTTGTGTTTTCCCAAATATGTTTTGAAATAGGAAAGCGAGGCAAATCCTAGAAACAAATTAATATTACTTGAAGTTGTACAAAAAGTGTTTTATGACATCCCTCTTTGTCTTAGTGCTTTGCTGGGATTGTTTGCACACAGTCCTCTTAAAAATAGCTGCTATGATAAAGATTAGGAAGATCAATTTGGGCTGCATCCCATATACTAGAACTGGGCAGAAAACATGGAATTTCGTTTCTTGGTGGCATTTGTCAGCTTGGTCACAGGTGTATTATTATGGAGGTAACAATTAATCATCACCATCTGTGGAGAATAAAGATTACTCAATTCTAATATGTAATGTTATTCGAAACTATGTCACATTGCATTTGGTAGGGCTTGTTCAGTAGTCAACTTCTAGATTGGATTGTTAGTTTTCTCCATTCCCATCTCATAAGACTGGATGCTTGTTGATCTATATTCTTAAAAGGCTATAGGTGATCAGCCTAGTATTCATCACCCGTACTAATAGGCAATCACTCATGGTCAAGTATGATTGTCTTCCAAGAGTTGAGTCTTGGCAGTAGGCCTATAAGTGACTGTGGAGACCTATTCTGGATCTTTCATAATGTGGATATAGATTTCCAGTTGGAAGGTGGTCACACCTTCCTTTTGGCACATTTTTCCCTTCACCCTCTGTTAGTGCCTCCTCAAAATCCATAGCATCATTGATATACTTCACCACACATATTGGACTGGGACATCAGAATGCTTTCTCTTAAATATCTGAACCTGTGGAAAGTATTGGTTTTCAATGTTTGTTTAATTCTTGCTGATTTTAAATAGTCAGCTTAAAAAAAGTGCTCCCTGTTTTCTATTGATAGAGTAATCTCCATCCAAAATATGTGCAGAATCTTCCAAATAAGGATATTGTAGAAGCTGATATAAATAATCAGCTTTGCTATGTTTGAGCTAATGTCTTATCAATGTTGTTTATGTATTTTACTAAATTGATCTCTTGTGAATATTGATTATTGTGGAGATCTTATTTGTCTTGTATGCTGAGCAAATGTGATGTTTGATGTTCCGATAGCTGTTTTTACTGTTGCCTTAATAAAAAGTCAGTGGAGGCCCTCCTCCCCCGCGCACAATAAAACACATAACCCTTCTTTTAAAATTATATACATATTACTCTAATTCTCTTTATATACATGTATCAAAATAAATATTTTAAATTTATATTATTGTATTCAAAGTAAATAATTTGAGATATTAGCAACTAGAAACTATTAGTTTTTTAAAATAGTCAGCACGTGTAAAAACTTAAATATAAAATTGCCACTGATTTCTAATTCTCATGAGTACTGAACTTGTACAAGATGTTCAATATAATAGTTGTTTTATCTATAAAGAGTGAACATGTTTACATTTCACTTAGCAGTTTTTACAAATAATTGTAGTGAATTATTTTCTCAAATTAGGAGAGTGCTTAATGTTTTCTGTATGCTGCGGTACATCTTTGCTTATCTTCTATACCGTGTCATGTCAAAACGCAACCCATCCCCATTGAACCTCTTCAAGCCCATCACGCTTTTTGTTTGTTCTTTTCATGGTGTAGAATGGAATCACTCCACTGCATGTGGCTTCCAAAAGGGGAAACACAAACATGGTGAAGCTCTTATTGGATCGTGGCGGGCAGATCGATGCCAAAACCAGGGTGAGTGCTGCTATCTCCTCATGTATGTCCTTCTGAATCTTTTCTTCATGTTTCTTTGTTGGATATGGTTGTAATTTCTCAACATTAAGGTGTATTCCTTGAGAGAACTCCAACAAGAACACAGTGTATTATCTTAAGAGGATTGAAATAAAAGGTTTTCTTCTGTGAAAGAAAGAAGTTGCACACACAGAAGGCATTTTGCTAATGAACAGAGGCCTTCTATGATCACAATTTTCCTTTTATAAGTGGAGTCTGTTTATGTTTGCAAAATTAAAATTTTGGATCAAAGACAGATTCTCATTTCCCCCCTTATTTTACTTATTTATATCTTACATAGTTTGGAAGGGCTAACAACTGAAAATGTTGTCATGTGGCATACATGTAAAAGCTTGCATCCAAGGATGGCTTCATGCTAGTAGATTTTTTCCCCTTGCACAAAGCAGAATACTTTATTTTAATTGATTCTTATTACTTAAGCAGGCCCCTACACACCACCTTTGGGTAAATAAAGGGGCTACATTTGCTAATTTGTCAAAATTGAGGTTCATATCTTGGGCAATCAGAGGAGCTTTCTACTAGCATGGGTGTGCACATTTTTGGGTCTGGAAGCTTACTATAGTATGGGATACTGACTCGGGGATCAAGGTCTATCCATGAGCATGTGCTGAGACATACCAGAGATCCTGTATGTCTAGATGAAGGTCCTGTGCCAAAAGCAACTAAAAAAAGGAAGGCTATCTAAGAAAAGGAAAGTACAGCAAGGCTTAACAGCCCAGAAAGAAGATAATCTTAACAAGCACGGTGAATATTACGAATTACAAGTAGTTACAATCAGTATTTCTTCCAGAATTGGTATCTCTCTACCATTGTCAACATCCTCTGGATGCTGGGTAGGGTTCTAAAGTGGGGTTTCCCCCTCATCATATTATTTTGTAAAGCAAGATGAAAAGATGATAGGTAGAAATTAAATGGAAGCTCCATCCCCAAGATAATGTCCTAAGCACTGAAGAGTTCTGTGCTCTGGAGGTACGAGAATGCTAAACATGAACATCTTGTGGAATTATTTTGGTGTCTAGATGATTGGCTAGGCCAAGAGTCCATTAGGGCCAATGCTGTTCTTTCACTGGACAGAGGTAGCTTCTTGTCAGAATTTTGCTGGTGATGTCTCCCTTGATAAGGTCAAAACAAGGTATATAATGATGTACCAGAAGCACAGATGTTGCCAGCAAGGCTCTGCCAGGGAGCTGCTTCTAGTGGGTGACACAGCGAGGAGTCAGTTTGACATGTGAAAACTGGATTGTGCTGGATCCAGCCTAATCCAACAGCACACATCTCAAAAACACAGGGACCACTCTGGAGCTTTCTGGAAGCTCTGGAGGAAGTTGTGGTTCATTTTGTGCTAGATTAAAAGCTGGAGGTAGCACTTCTCCTGCGAAAGCAGTTATACTTCATGTGGACTCCTCACAACAGTTGCAAGGTGAGTACATTTTATGTAGGCATGGTTTTTCTTTTCATCTCCTCATCCCCTCTCCACCCTTATCATTGAAGTGTTAGTTTGATGCTTAGGCAAAGAATTCAGAATACCCCCTGGATCAGAGAAGGAAGCTATAAACCAAGGGGAAAGATCTTGATAAGGGAAATTAGTTATAGCTATGGAAGTAATAATGCTTGTGTGGGGGGCTGCTTTGAAAGTCTTAGTTGCTGTGAATTTTGAATGCAGTCCATTTCAAAACATGGAAGACAAAAGAACAGTGTCAGCAGAAGAGTCCATAATCCAAAGAAACAGATTAAAAATAAGAAAAAGTCTTAAACTAACTTCTCCATTACCATTGTGCTTCTAAAAGCATCTCAAAAGATTGTTTGCTGCCAATTTGTGCAGATATTTAGAAATGTTTTTCCTCACTGAGTAATCCACCGGGAACCCCAATGTGTTGTCGAAGGCTTTCATGGCCGGAATCACTCAGTTCTTGTGGGTTTTTTCGGGCTATATGGCCATGTTCTAGAGGCATTTCTCCTGACGTTTCGCCTGCGTCTATGGCAAGCTTCCTCACCTCTGAGGAAGCTTGCCATAGATGCAGGCGAAACGTCAGGAGAAATGCCTCTAGAACATGGCCATATAGCCCGAAAAAACCCACAAGAACTGAACCCCAATGTGCTTCAGATAGTTCTAAAGCATAATCTCACTTTATATGCTGCAGTGGGTAGAAACTTTTGTCCTCAAATAATGGAGGAGGATGCCATTGCTGAATTACTCAGCCAAACCTCAAAAGTACCCTGGGTTCCTAGAAATACCTTAGCTGAAGAATTAGCTGAAGAATTATTATTACTAGAGATACTACAAACCAAATTTCCAGTCTTGAATCCAATGGAGATTATTCATTTGCTCTTTGTATAACATAAAATATAAATGTTTTTCAGGTTTATCATTGTTTGAAATTACATTTTACAGTACTGTTGCCCTGTGGTCCTAATAAACTATTGCATATTGGAACATATTGTACTGTTCTGAACAGTTCAGTGGAATCCTTCAGTATAAAGAAACTTCATATGTTCCCTATTCTGAATGAATCCAGAATTGGACTGCATGTTGCAAAGGAAATTTGCAGTAGTGTAGTAGATAAGAAAGCAGACATCTATGTAGTAGAAAAAAGGGAAATGAGGAGGAAGGGAGAGAGAAGGAGAAATTGAGAGTCATTTATGCATAAAAGGTTTGGGGCAGGGGAGCAAGCAAGTGCCTTTTTTGATTCATGCCATTTAAATTCCAGGCTATGGTTACAGACATAAGTATTTTAAAAGCTTAGTCCAGGCATCTCCTCCATCCAGCCATGAAAGCCACAGAGATTATACAAGTCACATCTTACTTCCCTTATACATTATTTCATATCGTCTGAACTTGGTACATTGCTAAACCAACTGGATCAAAGTGCAGTCCTGGACAGTACAATTGCTACAAGACCGCTTCTACCTTCTCACATGAAATCTAATTTTAAAAGGCTTTCATTGTTTAGCTTATCAACCTTGTCAGCTGTTAGTGTAGCTCAAAGCTGCCGGCACACAGATACTGACATAAAAACTGCAGAATGTCTCAAAGCTCTGGCATCTTCATTAGTTCAAGTTGAGATGTATCCTCTCTTATTTCTATTCCTTAGAAGACAATGGTGACAGCTTTGCACACTTTCCAGTATGGGAGATTACAGCATTTGGATTTTGTTCGTCAATGTCATGTCATTGTGTGATATTCTTGTGTCAGGCTTGTATTCCCATTATGTCTTATTCTTTTGTCATTGCTTTGTCTTGCTATGACCGCAAGTAAATAGGCTAATAAAGAGATGGATTAGAAAGTTGTGACAATTCCCAGTTTTCTTGGAATCTGCTGTTTTTCAAGAGTCCATATTAAGATTAAATACCATTTTTGTCTTGACTGACTCTAGCTTCAGCTACAGAAGACACAAATAATAGGTGATTTAAATACATTTAAAATATTTTAATGCTTTTAATGAGTTAAATAAACCAAACATATACTTCAACCATGAGGGGGAAGTGAACCTTGGGCAAACTGTTAGGGACAAGCTTTCCCCTGATAAGAAAAACAGGAAAAAAGAGAAAACAGCAAGCAATTAATAAAATTCAGGAGAACATAACACACTATTCACACGCAAAAGTTGAATTATTTTGACAGACTATGCAAAACTCTAACAAAGTATATTCATAAAGAAGTCTTTTGTAGTATGTATTTGTGTGTGTATATGTATGTATATCTTTTGTGACTGCCCTTAAGCATTACCACTCTTAATGTTACTTAATAACTTGAGAAACAAACAAACCCATAGCTCCCGAAAGTGCCTTTCACTGGTATGTTTAGTGAGCAGAAACCAAGGCAACCTTTACGTTTTTACCTTCTTTGAGGTCTCCAGCTACCATGTCCAAAACATTGAAAATCAAACATCTGACAATTGCAAATTAAATTAACAGGTTTTTCTGCTCTCTAGAAAGCCTACCAGTCCTATTGAATGTGTTACAGTACCCAGGTTGCTCTGGTTCCTGACTCAGGAAAGAAAATAGCACAAGGCTGACAAACTGACTGGAATCTTGGAAAGACCTGGATCTGTAGTTGGGGCTACAACTAGAAGCAGGACTCACCTCAGTCGCACTTAGAGAAAGGAACCAAAATGACTATTTGAAGTGATTCCAGTATGCACAAATAACAGATACTATTTCAGTTTAACACATTATATTCAATCTCTAAAGCACCTTGAAATCACAGCTGTCAAGCCATGCCTATTAAGGGGCTATTTACCTATAACTATTAATACTGCTGCTAAAATCTGGTTCTTGTTAAGGTGATATAGAGTCCTTTCAGACAGGCCCTATATCCCAGGATCTGCCAGATAATCTGCTTATCCCAGATTATCTGGAAGTGTGGACTCATATAATCCAGTTTAAAGCAGAAAACCTGGGATTAGATCCTGGGATATAGGGGCTCTCTGGAAGGCCCACAGTACACTATGTTGTGCTTCACTGTTTTTGAAGCTGGGAAGTTTGGAACTATGTTGGAGCTGCAACACTGGATCTAGATCTCAGGTGCCTTGTTCACTGAAATCAATCATGTAATACACATTACCCTGTATAATGGATGGGCATGCTCTTGAGCCTAGAGGACTATTTTCTTTTCTTTCTCCAAGAGTTTTAGCACCTGATTGTGAGGACCATTTTTGGAGCATCGAAATAACGCTTCATCTTATCAAGCAATTATTTGAAGGGAATGTTTGACTATTTGTGGGGATGTTTCTGAAAATGTTTGAAATAGCTTAATCTGGCTCAAATTAATTTTTCAACCTGACAAGAATGGCAGAAATTCAAGGTATTGTTGGGCAATCGTTGCCCTGAAAGTCCAAAGTACTCCTGGCTATATGATTCCTGCTTCTGAAATAATAGGAGGGGCATCTAAATTGACCATTGAAGTTTTTTCAATATACTTTGAAGAGTAAACTGGAAACTAT